CATACTTTGCTAATAACTGCAAAAGTGACAGGAAATTTCCAGGGTTTTCATTTGAGGTCATGTCCTCAGTATAGCCATAAAATGCATGATTCTGAGAAGCTAAATATTGTGTACAATCCAGCAACTGTCGCATTACATTTCTCTATTTATTTATTTCTTGCTGAATTTGCCTTTGCAGCTCTTCATCAATGCCATTTTGAAGACAAATTCGGTGCTCAGTTTCTTTCCAAGCAGCAATTGACTCACGATGACTGTCACTATTTTCATGGGTATTTAACTTTTCAATTTTTTTCAACTTACAGGATCCACCCTGTGTTTTGAAAGCAGACCGACTATCAAATGTCATACATGTAGATGAAAAAAGAAGACAACAAATGCAGTATGCTGCTTTATGTAGAGGTGAATAAACCAACCAGGAACGACTGAATAAACTAGTTTTATTTAAGAAAAGACTTGTATTGCTGAAGTTCCTCGGGAAGAATTTATACCGGAAATTAACAAATGACCAGATACGCAACAATAGGTACCCAGAATGTATCTTTTACAGTATCAAAATAGTCAACCCCTCTTCTTCACTAAAAATCTAAGTAATTATAAATGAATGCTAGCAAATTACCATATCCTGTATCATCTTCGGTGCCAAATTCTTCCAGAAGATCAGTGAGTGCATCACGAAATTCTATCATCCCTTGTGCTGGTATAGCAACTTGCGAACGAGGACCTCCCCTCACTGTAGTTTGTGAAATCTACAGGGTTTTGAATGCAAAAAATACAAGTGAAAAAAAAGATGAAATAATATATATGTATATATAAACATATATATGTATATATATATACATTTTCAGATATGCTTTAGAAAATATTTATGTACATTTTCAATATAATAATATGTTAGGAGAGTAACAATCAAGTTACTGTCTTAAAATTAATTTTAAAATTATTTGAATTAATTCTAAAATATTGCTCTCACTCAAAATAAAAAAATATTCTCCATTCCATAAAAAACAAAAAGTAAAATATCATAATGATGGTAAGTAAGTATCACTATCAAAAGTCAAAGCATGTTAGTTATTTTAGAATATTTTTTTTACTGGAATTAAGCCATTTGTTCATCTAGTTCTTCTCTAAGAGTCTAAATTTCTTAATATCTCAGGTTTGAATAATCGTTCAAAGGTGTTTGCATTTTCAGAATATATTTATGGTTCCTAAGGAAATTTGTTAAAAAGTAATTATAATTAAATACATCATAATAAGTATAGTTTTTTTATTTTATACATTAAACAAATAGTTAGTTGAATTAAGTAAATGAAACTTGGACACTGGTTAACTTCAACCCACAGTTTCTGCTTATTGGACAAAAGTCATAACTGACAAAAAAAATGGCACTCAGCTGTATGAAAAGCTAAGCTTACTTGTTCTATTTGTCAATGATTCATAATTCCCATATAACAAGATTTATTTGATTCCTATTTCAAAAAAAATTAATATAAGGTTATAAATCAACTGAAATAACACAAATTTTTCTATGTCAAATCTTTTTTTTTTTTGTTTAACTGTTATTTAAGAAGTCCTTCAGACAGAAGTTTAATCACAGACATGCCAGGCTGGTGTCAGTTTAGCAAATAATGACCTATGGTTCAATCATATTGACTAACCCAGTTCTGAAAGGGTGAACAACCATTTATGTTTATAATTTCTCAGAGCCGAAATATGTATCTAATCACAGCAGAAACAATATAATTTGATCATTCTTCATATAATTAAATCACAATATACTGATAAATAAATGGTTAGAAATATCAAAGCAATTCTACTGAAATGGGACATCACCAAAATACTTAAATAAAAAAAAATATGTGTAGTGATAATGAATTGTACTTGTTTTAACTTTTACATTTATTAACCTAAAATATACACCAAACAATTTCTTACCTCCAAAACAAAATATGTCTAGGTGCCAAAGATCCTCTATCTATCACAATTTGTTCTCAAGTTTTGACCACTTTTCAAAATCCTAAGTTAATTGCTACCATTAATTATAATGAAAATGTTTGACCTTCAGTGTAACCTTGACTTTTACATTCACCAAAAGTTAATCAGCTGGCCCTTGTGGGGCTTTCAATATTTGCGTTTCAAATTTAATGAAAACCAAATATAGACGTTTTGGGTTATGTGGTTGACCTTCATTTGACTATAATCATGTCGACCTACATTCATCATAGCTAATAAATTAATTGGTCCTCAGTGGGGGAGCGGGCATTCAGCCTCCGTAGAAAAAATGTATCAAAATCAGATGAAAACGAAAATTTTCTTGGTATACTGTTCACACACACACACACAGCATTGAAAACAATGCTCAAGCTATTGGCTGAGATAATAAACTAATTTGAAAACAATGAGATAGTTTAAGTGTACTTAAGTACTTTACCGCTTCTAATATGTTTGATTAATCATACATCTGCTAAGTGATTGATGAAGCCAAGTCCCAGAAATGGATTTTGTCAAATGGCAACCTGAATAACATCATTTATGTAAAATTACTTGTCTTAAATTGTAAGTAACAAAATCAACAACCGAAGAAGTAGATCTGCATAAACAACTTGAAAATATTTTCTACTGTAGCAAGTTTCAAGAAGTTATAGTGTAAAGAAACAAAATGTTAGTACCTGATTTTTCATTTATATGTGTTTAGTATAAATGTACATGTACTATATCATTTTCAAAATGGTTGAATGTGTTCTATTTACCCATTTTTATTTATGGTTTGGATTCTTTAAGTAATTATATCACTTACTTACTCGCAAAAACCTTCCTCTAGAGTTTTCCTTCAGGTCAAGATAATACCGTTTATTTTCTTTTACCATTACTTCACTCTTTAACTTACCATCTTCTGGTATGCTATCTGGATTAGGTGGGCCTTTTGTTATAGAAAAAAATATTAGTAAAACACTACAAACTGTTTTTACAGTTATAAAATTAAAGCAAAACAAACTATAAAATACAAAAACATTCACATAAACGGCACATTGAACCTAGCCTAAATAATTTCTCAAAGGTTAAAAGAAGGTGCCAAATAATATTTTATGATTATAACTAATGGGATAAATACAAATTCAACAATTATTTAACTGCGTTAAAGATCTGGTTTTAAATTATAATATGGATGGAAAGCATTCAGACATATTACCAGACATATGTATTATGTTTGTGCAGTAATTAATCATTCATTAAAAATCAATGCTTTGGAAAAATATAAATGTATCATATTATAATATTTTCAAGAATACTTGATCTTTTCAACAATTTTCTGTGTCCTTTATCTACAGAATCTGCTTCAGTTAATTTTTATATAGTTTCTTTACATACCAACCTCTCTTAGCAACAAGGTTATAAATATATCTACAATTTTATAAACAAACAGATAATGTATTGATTCCTTTTTGTTTTGAGAAAGAAGAATCAAATTTTATATCTTGCCTAAACATTTTAAAGCAATTAACGACTGTTTGTCAAATAACTGAGAACCAACACCTTCTTGTACATATGGCATTGAGCTTACAAAATGAAAAAAAAAATTCAATTTTGCAAATTTCTATGATATTAAAATCAACTACTTTTTGAAGCCTTCTACTACAGTCATGCTTTTAAGAATATTAATCAATGCAATCGCTCGGTGACTACTACTATTGTCTAGTTAAACAACCTTTTTACTACTACAACACAGAAGCTATCAAAGCATTTGCATATGGTTAACGAGAACAATAACTCTTCCTTCCAGAAACTTTGAAGCTTAAAATGAAATGTTATATGTTTTAAATTGATCAAAGTGGAAAAGTACGGAAACTCTAAGGTAATTGTATTACTAAAAGATCTAACAACAAAAAAATACTAGACAACTTATCTCTGTATCAATGTATGTTCCTGTGTATATTTGGGAATAAATCTAAACATGTTAATATCTATTCTGATTAGGAAATTAGCACATAAGATCACATACAAAAGTTGTAATGGTTTTCAAACGAAGCCTAAAAACTCGAGCGCGATGCAACAATACATAGTACTCACTCTACTTGCTATACAGATGAAACACTACATATTAG